TCAACAGGGTACCCCTTTTACGCTCAAAAGTGATAGTGTGAGCAATCAACCATATGGCCAGCCCCGGGCTGATGGATAAATGAAGAGGGCAGCAAGCCCCACTGCCTACGTACTAAAGGAAAGAGAAGCTGGGCCCCTCAGCTCCCCATAACTGTGAAGCTTCTGGGTATTTCTGCATCGTGACTTACCCTGAATTCATGGACTGGTTGAAATTTTGGGCTTTCTCACATGCCAGTTCCTATCTGCATTTGCTGAACTTTATGATTTTACACTACAATATGATTTTTCCCCCCAAAACGGAGATAAACAAGTTCTTTGGAGAAAAATCTGCATTTGGAGATATAAATCGGTTGATAACAAAAGGGTAGCACAGTGTGATTTCCCACACCGACTGCCTCCTGTTCATTAAGTAAAACCGTCCTAAGACAGAGAGCAGACATTTGCTGGTTTGAAAAAGTGAGCCTGGGCACGTCGTGGCAGAGCTGCTTGCTTACGAGGAGCCTCTGGCACTGGGGCATTCCCCAGGCTGGACAGGAGGTCAGGGGGCTCCTCATTCCTGACACCCCCCCCCCTCATGTCTCCAGTCCCTAACACACGACACCCAACACAAGAACATTTCAGAAACATCGCGTTCAACCACCAAACGTGTGAGAGGCTTCAACACGAGCAGATTCCCCAGCACAGGGGCACCCCGGCTTTCCTCCTCAAGCTCCCTGAATAGCGGCTGTTCTGCTGTCCACAGGCAGCGTTGTACAAGGCGCGCTTTATGAGGAAGAATTCCCTAAAAGGAATAGTTAGGTTCTTCCCAAGCAACCAGCTTGTTTTAATTCATATCCATACTAAGCTTGTCCTGATTTAGAGCCAAACCCAGAATCCTCTTTGTGAAAAATCTCACCCACAGATGTACCCCCCCTTTCCCGGCCTGTATTTTTGTTCACTTTTACATTTTCGCTTCCACTTTGATTTGGTTACATGTATTTTTGGAGCTGGCTGCTATCTGTCTGGAACAGGTGGAATACAAATAAAGCAGACATCTAGACATCTACAACAATTGTAAGGAGGAAAAGAAAGGGTCAGAGGCTATCATTCAGGACTAAATCAGAAGACTTGCCAGGAACGAGAAAATACCAAAAAGAAAACCTGCACAGAGAGGAAGAAAGAGGAAGCTCAGGAGTAGGGATCTGGGATGGAATCTCGGAAATCAACGTGGCCCTGAGGGGAGCTCTCTCCAGAGGGAGGGTCTTAGAGGCACCTAACTGAGGGGAACACACCAGTTAGAATGTCACCAGGAGAGCCTGAGTCCATGAGCTGCCGTTTGTCAAACGTAAGAATGAAACAAAAGTGTTTTGCCAGCTGTCACATACGCAGATAGTCAAGTGGGCCAAACCAAGCCCCCACCATTTCATTTCTACCTCTTCTTTCCAGGAAAACCCTCCTCAGGCCCTAACGAGTAGAGAAGCCAGGGGATGTGGGGAGATGGCCCAACCCCCCAGACTCTCCTGCTCAGTCCCTTCTGTACCGCCTGCGGAACAGGCCAGGTGCGGTCAGATTCACAGTCTGTGGGCTCTGGGGGAATGTTGGCTGGCAGGAGATTCCAGGGACTGAACAATAGAAAAAAAACCAGCATATTCTCAAAAGGGGACCAGAGGAAGATAATTCACCTGTGGCCCGCAAGTGATTTCCAGTAGAATTTAGAAATTCTCTGGAGGTTTTGAGAATACTCCAGTAGCCCGTTCTGAATCAGGAGCTCTCAGAAAGGACAATGCAATCAAGGGGCCAGCGGGAGCCAAGGGCACGCCAAATGAACCCAGGGTCTAAACTTTTTCTTACTCTAAAAGCAACACTTGCCAACATAGCAAAATGAGACACTGCAAAGAAAGAAAAAAGAAAAGAGCAGGAAAGGCTGGCGCAAAGCACTGTAAACACCTTGGCAGGTACCTTCCCAGACCTTTGCATATTATTTTTGTTTTTAACGTGATCACATTGCACATTCTGGTTGCCACTTAGCATCCACGCACACTTTTTTCTCCGAATCATCATTTTTTCTACACCATCCCTCCATGGTATAAGGATGTTGCATCATTTAACCTCTGCTTTGGTTTTGGACATGCAGGAGATCCATCCCCCAGCCCCTTTTCCTGAGAATGATTTTGAAGAAGCGGCGGTGCTCACCCCTGTGGATGGATCACCTCTGAACACCGGTGAGTGTTTCTCTGAAGTTCCTACTAGCAGAAGCATGAGGACCAAAAAGGTGTGCTTTGCGGCCGGGTAAGGAGGGAACAAGGTGGTAGAGCGAGCGGACATGAGCCTTTCAGGATTTCAACATGGAGTCAGCAGAAGCCCCTCATCCCACTTCTGCGGGCAAGAGAGAACTACTGGCTAGGCAGCTGGCACGTGCTGGCTGATGGATCGCATCTGTACCCCTAAATGGCTGCATGAACGTGCAGAAAGACGGGGCCCAGCTGAACGCGGGAGGACCCCGCAGAGACGGAGCGGGCTGGCCAGAGCTGGTAGGCCCCGACAGCAGGGGCGTTCAAGCGGCCAATCAGGATGCCCGCCTGCCCCAGAGGTCGGAGAGGGTTCCTGGGCAGCAGACACTGGACTCAAGGCTTTCCTTCCTCCCTCCCATAAACAGCCCATGAGCGTGTCTGTGTGCCAGGGCCAGGGCCAGGGCTCTGCACTGCCTCCTCCCCTTCCCCCAGCAGCTGGAGCACCATCTCTCCCTCTGCAGGCCTGACACCCACGAGCCGTCTCAGGAGAAGGGACAGATTAACAGGTGTGCCTTTGAGAAAACATTTAAGAGTGGACACGACTTTAATAACAGCGCACACAAGTTATGAGCGGGTGGCTCGCTTTTCCAATCACGTAGTTTGGAAATCTACCTCAGAAGGGCCTGCAAACGAAGGGAGCCATAATGAAAGGTTTTCAGGAAGGAGCCGGAGTGCACCAGGGGTGTGTGCCAAAGGCCTGGCCCCTGGAGTCCTGGGAGTGTGCACCGGAAAGCCGGTTCAGAAGGAGAACAGGAGGGTCCGCTCGTTCTGTTACCAGCGGGGCTCCAGTGACCGTGCGTCGGGCACACTTTGCCGTGACTGTCTTTGGAATGAACCACTGAAAACCTTAACTTGGCGATGCCAGACTGAGACGTGCCGCTCAGTGCCAGCTACTGTTCATACGGAGGGCGGGGGGGCGGTGGTGTCTCTGTTCCCTTCTACCAGAATGGCTGGCAGGCAGGCAGCCGGCGGGTGGGCGGGCAGGCTTCCCAGCCCACCACGGGTGCCCAGTGCTGAGCTTGCAGCCTTATGGAGCCCGCGGGCGCCGCGGGCTCTGGCTGGCAGCATTACAACAGAGGCATCCTGGAGCCGGGTGGCGGCGATTTGGTGCCTGCCACTGCCGAGGGGACCGGGGCTGCCCGCTGCCGAGCTGCAGCCTCGACGGCGGATGCTTGGAAGATAAAACCCAACTGACTGCCACTTACATAAATGTAACAGGAAGTTTCTGAATGGCTTCCCCTGTGTCTCGAGGCTGTTACCTCGGTATTGCTAAACTAACAACACCTCATCAAAGCCGCGGGGCGAGGAAGCAGTGGTCCAGAGGCAGACAGAACATTCCTGCCAAACCAGAGGAGATTTCACTCTGTGGGCCCTTTTCTGTAGAAATGCCAACAGCTGGGAAAGCCATCAGAGAATCCAGGTAAGGTGAGGGGGCGGGGGGAGCTGAACACCACGGCTGGAAAAAGATTTGCAAGCTGGAGGGAAAAAGTCATCTGCTTTGATGGAGCTTTCCTCATGTGCATTCGGAACGGGGCCGCCCTGCTGGATTTCACAAACCTGTTCTGCACCACGATGCCACGAAGCATCTGGGGAAATATTCAGCTTTTCTACAAATAGGTCATCTTTCCACACTTGTTATGCTCCTTGTCGACTTTGCTGAAATAGCCACAGCACAGAAGAAATTCTCTCTGGAGGTGCTTTTCTGAGACAGTGTGCTCCCTCCACCCTTTGGGGCCACCGGGGCTCTAAGAACATCCTGGGTCTTCCCTTTCCCCACCCAGAAATGGAACAACTGGCTTTTGCTTCTACTTCCAAACCTATTAGGGAGTGATCATAACAAGAGAAACTGATACTGACATGAATTACACCATTGTTCTATTTCATCTATTTAGTAACCCCAAGTTGCGATTTTTAGAAAAAAGATTACTTTTTAAATAACGGATTCATTATGGTACATGAATGAATGCCATGTTCCCGTGTTCAAAATGTCACTCACCATTAAGGGCGTGCGCTGGTAAGTGGCACCGATTTGCCACTTCCCCCACTAGGTACTAACGCCCCTGACTGGAGGCCGAGGATAATCGGAGGTGAGCCTGCAGGGTTCCGTGGCTCTTAGCGAGTCACCTGTGCTGCCAGGCACCTAATGAATCTCCACTCTGTAATAAGGGTTTTAAGTGTTCCTCTCCCGGGTGAAGGTGAAAAGGGAGACTCGCGCTGCTGAGGTTCCTGCCAAGGTAGCACCATCATTTCCAAGGCCGGGCTCAGAAATCACAGGCCCCCACGATGGTGGTTGATAGAGGAGACCACCAGTGTCCCTTCTGGCCACAGATCTGGCTTTGGGAAATGAGAGGGGAGGACAAACCGGGATGCGGGCTGGGGAGCAGCCTGGGCCTTGGCTCTGTGCTGCTCCCGGACCCCAAGGGGAAACCTGCCCTGGCTCAGGCACGTGAACAATGCAGGGACTATTCTCTGGAAGCCTCCCTTCAAGACTGTGAAATCCACACGTTGTTTTTCATCATTAGTTTCAAAACACGCCAAGTATCTGGCCCTTCTCTAAGTGCTGAGGTGCCACAAAGGAAGGAAAGGGCTCATCTCCGCAGGGAGCAGGCCCCTTGCAGGGTGAGAGAGAGAGGGAAGACAGATGCCATAACGAAGCCAGGAGACATGAAGAGGGAGGTGGTGCCCGGGACACAGACGCGGTGGCTGGCCAGCGCCAGAGGCCCCACGTACCTGATATGGCATACAGATTGGAGTGCTGGTACTCATAGTCCGCTCGAGTGCTGTTCCTGCCTCGGAAGGTAGCAGGGAGCGTTAGAGAGATGTGCCTAAGAAAGAGACAGAGAAGAAAGGAGGTTACAGGGTGCGCAGAGCACTCCCCAAGGCCCAGAAAGCCCCCACCCCACCAACGGCCTGCAGCAGCACAGAGCAGGAGCAGGGGGCGCCCTGGTAAGCACGCCTCCCCAACAGCTCGAATTCCCCCAAGGAATTCAGAAGTTTCCAGACATCAGCGGCCATCCTTTTTTTTCTAATTCCCAGAAGCACATCCAAGTGGAAGAAAGGGTTTCCCAAGCCTCATGGCATGTCCCACCGTCGTGCTTGAACGAAGTGGGCAACTTAGTCCTGACCTCTGCCCGCTGGGCAAGATATACAAATAGGAACAGAACACTCAGGCTCTGGACAGGGGTCCCGGTTTGCTCTGCCATCTTGGCCCATTATCCATCCAATGGCTTTCATACCTGTCCCACTGGGACGCTGAAGATAACCACGCAGGAATCACTTTGTGAGTGAAGGTGTTGTGTATTATTATTACCATGTGAGTCCAGGAAAACTCACCACCACTGAGAATCAGAATGGCATGCTCTTCTGAATGGCTATGTCTGTGTGTTCCCCCCTCTGGCAGAAGCACACAGTAGGTGCTTAGGAAAGCACCTTTGATTGATCCAACAGGGTCTTATGGTGCAGGTGTTGGCCATTAAAGCTCACAGTGCACACAGAGCAGAAGCGAGTATTCCATCAAAGTAAATAATCCATTCAGTGTGGTCATCAGCTGCCTTTAGCAAATGCAAAAAAAGATGAAAATGATAGGAAATATATTTCAAACCCAACAGGTATGGGTGGGGAAAAAAAAACAAAACAAAACAATAAAGCCTCTTCCTGGATTGGGGGTGTGTGTGGCTTGAAATAGCTCAGGAGCTTGAGTTTTGGCCACACTCAGTCATTTCCAAAAGGGGAAAGACCGAGGAAGGGAACGTTTATTACATAAAGAAAGCTTTACGTTGTACATGTTGCCTTTTTCACACAACAAATGCGCGATCTCTAGGCAGGACTGTTGTACATACAGGCTCCTAGGAGGGAAGGTTCTCTAGGCAAGGGCTGTTCCCACAGAGCCAGGAGGGAGCAGGAGCCTCTTGGCTACAAGACCAGCACCAAAGGCTGTGAAGACATTTAGTTTGCGGGCCGCGGGGTGAAGCATGGAGACAAACACCTATGCTATGGAACAGCCTGGCTGAACCAAGCTGGGGGAGGGCTTTGCTGAGCACTGGCTGCACTCAGCACTGCAGGGGAACCAGCAGGCAGCAGCACAGGGAGACCCTGACGTGTGTGTAGTGACTCTGACTGTCTGCTTGTTACTGCCGCTAACTAAGAATGCAGAGGGGAGCTCCCTGAAGGAACGTCTAGGCTAGAGGGGCTCGAGGTGCAGAAAGAGGCCACCGTGCGGCAGGACATGCGCCCAGGTGCTGAGGGAGCATGAGAGTTCCAATAAAGGGGATAGGGTTCTAGTGACACCTGCTCAGAGGAGGACATGGGTCTCACAGCAGTACAAGGGCCTCCCTAGGGAATCAGGGGAAGCCAGTACTGGTGCGGGGTCAGGGAACACGTCAAAACAGGGCTGGAAAAGGCAGGCTGGACGTGGAAAGGGCACTGAAGGCCTTACTGCAAGGTTTCTATCCCCTAGGATGAAGGTTCCTAACTCTGTTCTGCCCGTCACAGCGCAAATGAAGGCATTAGAGCCACCCGGGAGCTTGCTAACAATATAGAGTCACAGTCATGCCCCTGGAGAGTCGGGTTCAGCGGGCCTGGGGTGTGGCCAGCAGTCTATTTTTAACAGGCTCCAGCAGGGACTCTGAAGGCTGGCCAGGTCTGGGACCCGGAGACGAGGAGCAGCTGCGGAAGGGTTTTGCACAGTTGATCGGCGCCTCTGACCACAGCACTTAGTCAATGAAGCTGAGCAAACAGAAGAATGAATTATTGACTGTGGCTGTGGTTGAGCAGAGCGGAAATGATGACAGGTGACCCTGCAGAGGGTGCTCGCCGTGCGCCAGGCCTTGGGGTGTGCAGATCTCACACACTCACTCCTGGCTCCTCGCGCCCACCCTGTGAGGCAAGGGCAGGGCCTGGTGCGGGACGGGAGACCCTGGGTCCAATACTGGAGATTTCAAGATGTTGACAGCAGAGCACTGTGCCGAGCGTGGGGCCCTTCCGAGGCCGGGCGCTGGTGCGCCAGTCCCGGGGGCACATCCGCGTGCTGGCCGAGGTAGGCGCTGGGGTCACACCTGCCGTGCCAGCGAGGGGATTTCCAGGAGCCAGGGAAGGACGACGCTGTGGGGCAGCCATTCCTTAAGATTTCGGAGCCTTGAAAGCACTTTCAAAAGATACATGCAACCAAACTAAGGACTTCCCACATCTGTGCCATGCAGTGGCTATCCCAGGGCCTGGGGGCATTCAAGGAAGGCTCGTGGAGGAGGTCGGGGTTAGTGCAACTTCAGGAGGCAGGCAGACCAGGATGGTGGCAAAGATGCCAACCAGGAGCCAGCCCAGCCGTTGAGTGGTTAAAGACGGGCCGAGGGTCTGGGGCGAGAGAACACAGATGGGGTCTGGGGTGGGGGTGGGGTGCGGGACAAGACGGGCCGAGGGTCTGGGGCGAGAGAACACAGATGGGGTCTGGGGTGGGGGTGGGGTGCGGGACAGGGAGGGGCCCTGTGGGCTGAGGTCACCCTGCAGCAGGGACAGGGTGTGGGACAGGGAGGGCCCCTGTGTGGGCCGAGGTCACCCTGCAGCAGGGACGGGTCATGAAAATGCCCACCAAGTTACGGGAACGCTTGCTTACAACGCGGCCGCACACCGTAAGCAGGAAGTGCCGTGTGCGGGGAGGGTGGAGCATGGACAGGGAGGAGGGGGGCATTAGCCTCCTAAGTGGCCGGAGGCTGGAGTGGCCTGAGCCCAAAGGCTGGGAGAGGGTACGGGGCCAGGACGAAGAGGGCTACGGGGCCACAGCACAGCAGGGCCCTGCATGAACTTGGACTTTATCCGGGAGGATTTTGAAGCAGAGATGTGACAAGATCCAATTTGCAATTTTAAAAGACTGCCCGCCTGTGGGAAAGTGAGGAAATAACGCCGAGATGCCACGGTAGACGGGAACGAAGCAGTAAATTACAACGGAGATGATCGTGAAACTGCAATTATTCAGCACTTACTGTGTATAGACCCTTAGCAATTCCTGCCAGAGCGTCCTGCGGCAGCCCTTTGAGTGAAGGGTTTGGGGGAAACACAAGACGACTTACACACACAGGACACGCTAGAGAAATCAGGCGCCTGGTTCCTTAGCTGCCCCATCCAACTCCCTGGTTTGAACTTTCCTGCTTCTCTGGGGCATCAGACTGTGCCCGGCTGAGAGGCTCTGTGGCCCTCCCTCTGTTGGCCAGCCTCTCTTCCTTTCTGGCTCCTCCTCTGACTTTTAAAAAGTTGCCGTTTGTAAGGGTTCTGGTTTAGGGCACTCTCCATTCTGCACACTTTCCCTAATCCACATCCATACCCTGACTCCAGCTGCCCTCACACTCCCGCTGCCCTTCCCTACTCGGAATCTTGTCACTCACTTCTCCCTCTACCGGGAAGAGGGCAAGTCCTGCAAATCTCTGAACGTGCCATGTTTTTTTCATGCTTTAGTCTGACTCTATCCACGCTGCTCCCCTTCCTAGAATCTCCATTTCTTCCTTACCTACTGAACAAACTCCTATTCACCCCTCAAGACCCCACCTAGAAGAGCACGTCTTCTTCAGCAGAACCTTCCCTGGGCTTGTTCTGGGCTCACTGGGTGCCTGCAGTTCCCCCCTCTTTCTAGTTCTCACAATATACTTGAAGCATCTGATACGAACCTGCCTTCCTAACATGACTGTGAACTCAAAAGCAGGGCCAAAGCTCATCAATTTTGTACCCCATTTTCTAGGACGATTTTGGACCTAAGGTACACAGCTGTTGAACATATGCTGGCCACATCAAGTGCTCAACCTACTCCATTAAAACCTTTGGATCTTTTTGATGTAAACGGTTATAGCATCTATTATTGTTTCTGTGCATGTGTGTTTGCCAATCAGACTCAAGCGGCCTCTATTATGCCATGCATCCCACTCCTCTGTGCTTGGAGGAAAACAGATATGATGGAAGAAGAAATCGGTGGCGGCGGCTGGGAATCTAGGGGAGGTGGGCAAGGGGAGGATAGAGAAAAAGTTTCTGATCTACTGTAGACCATGTATGGTTTCATAGTACATGTGAAATTAAAAGAGCATTCAAGTTGCAGACCCAGCTGTGTCTTTTACAGAGTAATTGCTCCACAGGATGTGTTGAATTGAAATGAAGTTACCCAGAACTCGAGCTATAGTGGCTGCAAGAGTGGGTAGGATGCAGCACTCAGAGGGCAGGCAGAGAGGCCACCGACCAGAGACCACTTTAGGGAGAAGAGTTCCCTATGCTGCAAGTAGCAGCTTTTCGCTTCTGTTGTTTGGACACGGGAAGGAGGGGACGCGGGCACAGGAGGTTGAAAAGGCTCAGCAAGGCCTCCCTTAATGAGGATGGACAGTTGGGGCTGAGGGGACAGATAACCTGCGGTTAAAGAGGAAGAAAAAGTCACCTGCTGAAGGAGAAGTGGCCCAGGGGCACTGCGGTGTCAGATTAGCCTGAAAATGACAGACGGCAGGAACCAGGGAAGCTTTGCCATCAGCAGAGTCTCAGAGCAAAAGGAGATTCTAGGTCCCCGGGGTGGGGTGGGGGGGACCCCACACCAGGCACTGGGCTGGGTTTCTTTACATACACCCCCCGCCTAATCCTCCCAGCAACCTTTTCAGATAAGAACAGTTAACTCCATCCAATAGAACAGGGGACTGGGGCTTTTGAGGCAAAGCTGACAAACAGAAAGTGGGGAATTAATGAAAAGGTTAGTTCATGTATCCTCTGGACGTTATCACTATCACCTGAAAGTCGCCCTGATGCATCGTCTTGACTACGGGGTATACAGACTGACGACTGCACTTCTATCCTGAGGCCCTTCTAG